GGCAGAACTGAAAAATGCAGTATTTGAAAGTGGCGCCCGAATTGCAGCATGGCGCCAGTTGTCCAAAATCCTACGGTACCAAAGGAGGGGTTTGGAAAAAGGGTGCCAGGCCGAAAACGGGATGCAGCCGAAACAGCAAAAGATAGACCAGGGATCGAGCCCTGGCGAAGTCCGTAACAGTGTGTTTGATTTTGTTGGACTGTGTGTCTGTCCGACTCCTGGCCTCCAGAGAAGGCTTCTAACCGAAATTGCATGTTGCCTATTCACCCACCTACTACTGTGTCAGAGGAAGCAGCGTTCTCTGTGTGTCTGGAAGAAGTTTGAGAATCGCTTCATACTCTGTGTCTGTTGTTCAATTAACTTATTGATTGTCTGTGGGAAAATGTATGAGCAAGGTGCGGAGTCGTAGCCACAGGGACAGGTGGTGAAGGAGGAACCACAATCCTCTAGTCCCCCTCCTCCTCTGACTGCGACCCGGCAGTGTGTTCAAGAGATGAAGGAGAAGTTGCTGCAACAGCAGAACTTGCTAGCAGAGTTGAAAAGGCAAGAGGCAGCCGAGATGGAAGCTGCAACAGATGCGTCCCGCTGGACGTATCTGTTGGAGCAGCTGGCTAGGATAGAGGCAAATGGTCGGTCCTCACAAGCGAATAAGTGTATGGCAGAGTGGATCCAACTGGACCACAAAGCCACAACTACTCATTTCACTAACTGGGATGACCGGATCGCATGGCTCGAACACCGTGTTGATGATCTGGCAGCTCAGCAAACAAAGATTCTGACAGCAATAGAATCTTTGGCTGCTCAGCAGACAGCTGTTGATATTGTTGTTTCCTCCCGTCTGTCTTCCAAACCTCTCAAACCTTCTCCTCCTTCTTCTCACCCTACCTGTTCCAGATATTCTTCCCCTCCACCATCTCCTCCCTCAAAAGCATCAGTCCCAAGGACCACTGTCCCTCCAGCAGGTGATTAGCGGATCCCAGCCCCGAACAAGTTCAAAGGAGATGACCCCAAAGTGGATGTTGGGGACTGGGCCGCTGGTGCAAGAGCCTACCTGAGAGGCTTCACCTGTCCTAAAGAGACAAAGGTCTCTACTGTTCTAGGTCTGTTGGAGGGCCCCTCTCTGAAGTGGGCCACCTCCACCTCCAGCAGCCAGGACAAGAGGCTGGAAGACTGGGCTTTTGGGTTGGGAGTGGACGGGCTTCTGCAGGCCCTTCACTCCTTGTTTGCAGAATTCGAGCAGCTCACCTTCACCCATGGGTTAGTCATGTCTACTCATGATTTGTTGACTAACTTTTGCAGGGCAGCAGCTGAGAAGTTCGCTGCAGCATTGTATAGCTCTGGGCACAAGGACTGGAGATCCTTTGGCCGCACAACACTGGATATGGATGCAAAACTCCAGGTCCAGACCCCCTCCTCTGATAGGAGGAAGAGAGCCTTCCCCTGTGTTGGAAAAAGGGGAAAGGCTGCTTTTGCTCATGCAGGTTTTGGATCAACAAATGACTCAGATTCCCAGGCTGTTTCACCACCGGCTGGGACTGCATCACCTGCTGATACAGAAGTTGCTGCGGCCCTGACTGAGGCTGTACTGGCAGTTCTACAAAAGAAACCCCCCTCCAGCACAGCCTCAACCAGCAGCAAGGGGAAGGACAAGTGACATCGTCCTTTTACCCCTGCCCAGAGACCTAATCTGCCAAGAGACATCCGCATGCCAGCTGACCCCCTGAACCCTTCCACCCTTCCCTGGCATGATCTCAGGATCCAAGAAGGGGTGTGGAGAAGGAGGATGGATAGGGGGGTCTGCCTGCGATGTGAGGGACAACACTACCTGAAGGACTTCCCTTACATGCTAGGCCCTCGGTCACAACCAAAAAACTAAAGCAGACCCTAGGGGCATCAGCTCCCCCTAGTGCTGCAAACTCATCTTCTGAAGAAGGTGAATCTGCAGCTGCTTCAGTAGATGGGCCTTGTGTTGGAGTTGTGCAGGCAGCATCCTTTTGTTATCAGGATCCTGACCCGGATCAGGAACTGGAGGAGCACGAGGCTCAAATGTTTGCTTCCCTCTTCCTTCAACTGAAGGAACAGAGGAAAACCAAATCTGAACTCATCCTACTTCAGCCCGTGATCAACCACACCAGAATCAAAGGTCTGCTGGATTGTGGAGCTACCCGGAACTTTATGTCACCTAACGCAGTTAAAACGCTGCATCTGGACCTAAAGGTAGAGACACTGCAGCAACCGCTGCAGGTCCGAATAGGGGACTCCACTATCCTCACCATAAGGGAGAAGGTCAAAGGCATCCCTGTGGCCTTCGATACAGCTAGAGAAGTCTATGCAATGGATGAAGTCCCAGGGAGAGTTAAACGATAAATTAGCACGCTACATTCAGTTAATTGATTTGTTTGACTTGGAACTAAAACATAAGAAGGGCTGCTACAATAAAGTGGCAGATGCCCTCTCTCGTAGGCCTGACGCTTTTGTGTTGATCTACTCTACTCACTCCTTTGGAAAGGAGACCCGTTAGACCATTACCCGCTTATTGCCTCAGGACCCGACTTATGGACCTATAGTCAAGAATCTGCAAGCAGATCCTAACTCTGAACCAGGCTATGCCCTGAGCTCAGGCTTGCTGTATACTTACAGCAGAGGTGAGGAGCGTCCCCGCTGTGAGAGCAGCGTTTTTAGAGATGTGGGTCACTCACCATGGACCGCCCCCTTCTATAGTCAGTGATAGAGATCCACGATTCTGCAGCAATGAGTGGCAGTCCTATTGCAAAGACTACTTGCACTCACGATTAGACATGACTTCGGGTCGTCATCCTGAAGCCAATGGTCAGGCTGAAGTGATGAACCAAGTATTGTTTCACTTGTTGTGTCCTGTCATCTCCCCAGATCAACAGGACAGGGATCTCCACCTGGCTTGTGCACAACTTGTCTATAATACCTCTATCCACTCCTCAACTGGTTTCAGTCCATATCATTTACATTGGGGACGTGAACCGCGACAGCCTCTTGATGACATCATCAATCAAGCTAAGTCTGATCTGACTCCTGGCACTGCGGAGTTTGCCAGACACTATAGAGTTGATGTGGAAAGGGCACGGGCGAACTTGTTCAAGGCCCAAAACGCCATGATTGAACAAGTTAATCGCCACCGCCGTCCTTTCCCCATTCGTACTGGAGATTACGTCTGGGTGGCCAGTTCAGAGTTATCGAGGGAAGAGGATATCTCTCCCAAGCTGTTGCCACGATACCTAGGTCCGTGGCAGGTGTTAGATACAGTGGGCTCCGATCCTTTTAGCCCGTCGTACGTTATCATCGTCCCACTGCATCTACAGACCTATCCGGTCTTCCATGCATCTAAGATACTTCCTTTCATCCCAACTGATACATTCCTAGACAGCCCCCCTCAGTTTGGTCCACCGATCCCTGGCAAGGGATATGACGAGGACGAGTGGGGCACTTGCCCCGACCGACATTATCTTGTGAAGTTCTATTTCCAGCCTCATACCGAGGACAGGTGGTTCACCAGGAAAGAACTTCTCAAGACAACAAAGTCTGTAGTTTTGCGTTACGAGGCGGCTCAGAAGGGTTCACTTCCTCACCGTTCTCCTCGTTTGCACCCCTAGCTCGGAGGTCCTCGCTCCCCGGGGGGGGTAAGCCTGCAATGACTTGCTGATTTTGGCTGCCGAGATCTAACTGCGAGGTTGTACAGTAACAGCGGTAGAGTTAGATTCATAAGTTTGGTTGTGTCATGGACTAACCGAGAGTTCAGTGCTGAGGGAAATTCATGAGGGACATATCTGCAATTTCGGGAAGACCGCACTGCGAATAGCAGGCCCGGGCTACCACCAGGACAGGAGGCCCTGGCTATCACCAGGACAGGAGGCCCTAGGGCCTAGGCCCGTAGCATGAGAGCCTATAGCCAGGTAGTGGCCCTAGAGGCCCAAACTGAAACGGTACCGGGCGGTCCAGTCCGTGTCTAGGTTAGTCTATTACTAGATCTAGGTAGCCAGGGTTAGGACTTTTGGCTGTTTTTCATTTTCGCATGAGAGCGTTCTGAACCAAGCAAGTACAATGGAGACGATTGCCTACAAGCGGCATCCTAAGACCTTCGCAGTGGACGACACCCATAGCCAGCCTTCTGGAGCTAGCCATAGCTGGGGCGTCCTCTGAGCATCCACCCCTTGGGGTGCTTGCGATCAGCTGGGCTATTTTGAAGCTCTACATGGTATTCGTGGGTGGACCACTGTTGCTGCATCTTCCTCTAGGATCGTGTGTGGCATCTACAGTGGCGCTACAGCCATAGCTGCAGCCTTCTTCGTCAAAGTTGCTCATCGGCACTGAGGGTTACATTGCAGTTCATGTTCTTCATCTGGGTGGTTAGCGCAGGCCTCTGGGAGGCTGTTGTTGTGTGGCGTTACTAACTGGGTGTAGTCTAGGGAGTGGAGTGTGTGATTCTGTGAGTGGTGAGACATTGAGACAAACTCTGTAACGATATTGGTTCAGATTGGCTCAATCTCAAATTTTTCCTTTGTTATCCTCGCAGGTGTCTACTTGTGATTGGTTGTTGGGAGTACTGTCAGAGAGTGGGAAACATTTCGTATTCTCTCCACACCTGTGCATAGTGCTTTTTGGCTGCTTACTCTGTTTGTGTGCAGTGTGTACTCCATCTCCTCTCCCCTTCTTCTTATGCATGTATGGGCATGCGTGAGACTGTGTGCGTGTGAGTGTTGGTGAAAATCGACAAACAACCAAGTTCATAACACACCGGCGGCCATAGCTAGAAGGAGGAAGACGACAGCGGCCATAGCCACCCAGCTGTTGGTGCAGACAGAGTGTACATAGTGTGAGTGGTTGTGCAGTGTGGACATTCAGGGTGATCCTCGTACGTGTGTGCATGCGAGAGTGTGGGAAGTGAGGTTGGCGGTAGAGACAGTGTTCAGTGGCCATAGCCGCAAGTTGTACGGTTGATTCACACTGTGTTTAATACAAGTTTATTGTTGTTTCTGAGTTGGAAGAGTTCAATTTTGCCATCGGCTCTCAAGTGTGCATGTTGTGAGCAAGTCTAGAGTCGAGTCTGATTGCACAGGGGTTTTCCTGGGTGTAGGGTGAGTGTGTAGAGCAATGAGGCAGGGTTTATGCAGTGTATACGGGTGTTATGTGTAGTATATAGCTAGGATACAGGGTGAGCAGGATCATAGGCACGGACAAGTTTCATGGCATTTTTGAGATTATCGAGGGGTTCCCATATAGATTCTTCATCTGAGTATCCGGTCCATTTGACTTTGTATTCAGTGATTGGTTCCGGGTGATCGGATACTTGAGTTGTTCTTCGTCCTATGATAAATTCTACCACGAATTATGGCCCGGTAGGTAGCATGACTGGTGGGGGTCTAGGATATGGCCAGTCGCCGAATTATTGAGGTGATTCATGGTATTCTTTCAAGTACTCTACATGGAAGACAGGGTGAACACGACTCATGTCAGGGGGTAGTTCAAGTTTGTAATTTATAGGGGATGTTTATTCAATGACGGGGAATGGACCAAGCCACTTGATTGAGAGTTTCTTGGACAAGCCGTGTTCGGGTTCGTTTGGCGGAGAGCCAGACTTTGTCCCCTACTTTGAAAGTGATATCTCGTTTGTGTTTGTTGGTCTTGTTGGCTTGTTGTTGTTGGGTTCTTTCAGGGGTGTCAGTGACTTCTCTGAGGAGGTGGTTCATTGTTGCAACCCATTCATTGAGAGAAGGACAGAGAGTGGATGGGTTGAGCTGCGAGGGGAGCAAGAAGTCTTAGGGCAAGCGGGGATGGTAGCCAAGGTCAAGGTAGTATGGGGACATGCCCATGGAAGGGCAGACAACGATGTTGTAGGCAATCTCGGCGATGGTGAGCAACAAATCCCAGTCGTGTTGGTGTGGATGACAATACTTCCGCAGGATCCTTTGGAGAATATCGTTCATCTTTTCGGTCTAGCCATCGGTCTGGGGATGGAATGCAGTGTTGTACTTGAGAGTGGTGTCGTAGGCTTTGAACATGTTTTTCCAGAATTGGGAAAGGAAGCGAGGATAACGATCAATGATGATGTTTTCGAGGAGATCGTGATGGCGTGCGACCTGATCGAAGAAGAGTGTGGCGATGTCTTTGGCATTGTGAGAAGTGGTGCAAGGGATGAAATTGGCCCGCTTGGTCAAGTGGCAGACAATGACGTAGATGTAGTCATAGCCGCAGTCGGTCTTGGGGAGACCGTACACGAAATCCATAGAGATGGACTGCCACCTATGGGTGGGGATAGGCAATGACTAGAGCTTGCCAGGCTTGGCCTGGCTTGAGGCGTTAACTGCTTGACAAGTGGGGCATGAGCGGATGTATGCTTTGACGTCGGTGAGGAGTGAGGGTCAGTAAACGTAGCCAGAGACGTTGTCGAATGTCTTTTGGAAACCAAGGTGTCTTGCGGTCTTGGTGTCGTGGTGTTCGACCAAGATTTGGGTACGAAGACCACGTGCGTCAGGGATACAGAGTCACGAGTGCCTTTAGTATTAATGTACAAGAGGTTGTTGTGGAGGGAGTAGTCGGGGACGGTGCCGAGGTTGTGAAGCTTGTTGTAGATGGTAGAAAAATCAGGGCATGAAGAGTATCCGTGAGTATAGCGGTGGTGGAGTGAAGGTAGGAGTTGAACATGAGTCATGGCGGTGTAGACTTTCTCAGGGGGCTTGTGGTCGGGTCGTCGAGAGAGGGCATCAACGATGCGGTTACTTTTGTCAGGGGTGTGACAAATGGTGAATGTAAACTGGGCGAGAAAGTCTAACCATCAAGCTTGGTGGGGTGTGATATCTTTCTTGGTGAGTATGCTTGAGACGATGGTGTTGCTGGTGCGGATAGTGAAGTACAAACCGTCGAGGTATGGGCGCCAGACTTTCAGGGCATGGATGATGGCGAGGAGTTCCTTCTCATGGGAGGGATAGTTGATCTCTGCGGGGATGAGCTTCTTGCTCCCAAATGCGATAGAATACTCGTCGGGTGGAACCTCAGAGTGGGTGGGGGAATCCTTGACGTAGGGGGGGTCCGGGATGTTGCAAGGGAAGTGTTGGGACAGGACGGCTCCAATAGCAAAGTCTGAGGCATCGGTGGTAACATAGAAGTGTCGAGAGAGGTCAGCAATCTTGAGGACAGGGGCTGTGGTAATGACTTGTTTGAGAAGGGCGAAGGCGGCTTGACGGCGTTCGTTCCATGCAAAAGGCTCGTTCTTGCGAGCGAGCTCGTGGAGGGGGTGTGAGATTTCAGAGAAGTCGCAGATGAAGGGCCGTTGGTAGTTGGCAAGGCCGAGGAAGGAACGAAGTTGCAGCAACGTCGTAGGTGGGGGAAACTCGACAAGGGCGGTGACCTTCGAGGGGTCCATGCGGATGTCGGAGGTTTGTTCACGTGTCGAGTGAACTGGCCGCGTTGGGGCAGTTCGTTTGCTGGTGGCCAAGCTCCCGGCAACGGAAGGAGCCATTGGTAGCCTGCAAGTAGGAGTGTTCCTCAGTTGTGAGTTTCTTGACACGCGGGGGTTGGGTGGAGGAAGATGGTCAAGCCATGCGGTCCTTGCGTTCCATACGCAAGAACTGAACGGTGTTGAGTTCCTCCGAATTGAGGGACACCGGGGCGGAGGAGTCCGAGATGGTGTCGGGCTCAATGAGAGGGGTTGTGAACTCGTCGTCGGAGGGGGACGCTATGGTGGTCTCGTCTGTGGAGATGTTGTGGAAGAAGCGTGGACGAGAGGTGGTGGGGCCGCGGACGTGGCAGAGAAGGCGATCGTGTTGAAGGGCACGGGTGAGGAGGTCAATGAAGGACATGGGTGGCTCGACGAGGGTGGATGTGATGTCCTTGCAGCAGACCCGCTTGAAGCGGCAAATGAAGACGTTGTCGCTGATCTGGTCGCGGGGAATGTTTTGGCGGACGGTACGAACATATTGGACGAAGCGGTCGGTGGGGCCGTTTTGGCGAAGCCTTCAAAACTGGTCGACGTAGTTGTCAATTGTCTTTTGCGGCCAGAAGGTGGCGGAGAGGAGGGAGGCCCACTCGAGGAAGGAGAGGGGAGGTAGGCCGGTGGAGTGTCGATTGGAGGATTCGGTGACCCACCATCGATGGGCGGTGTTGACGAGTTTGTTGATGGCGATGGAAAACCAGTGGATAAGGGGGACGTTGTGGGGTTTGAAAACTTGTGGTAACTTGGCGAGGAAGAGGAGAATGTCGTCATGGGAGTGTCCGGAGATGGTGGAAATGTCTTGCAGGCCGAGGGATGGGGGAAGGTAGCCGGTTTTGGGGACACGGCATGCGAGGGTGTTGAAGTCAGAGGATGTCAGTGCGGTAGCGATGCGGGTGTAGTCGTCGGTGGGGTCGGTAGGGATAAGGTTGTTGGGGGGAGGCTGGGGAAAGGCAAGGGGGAGCGTCGAGGATGACGCATACAGGATTTTGGTGACTTGCGCGTAGGTGAGCGGGATGGATGTGATGGTCGAAGCGGTCCAAATAGGAGCGGAGATGTGTTGGTGAGGAGGGAGGGAGGAAAGGTGTGTTATAGAGGGGGTGGAATGTGGGGGGGTGGAAGTGGAGGAAATGGGGGGTGGGGTAGAGTCGCTGGAGGACGGTTGGTTGATGTCAACAACGCAGCACATGGACGAAGCACAGAAATCCAGAWTGCAAAATCACACTGAAGTCCATGTAGTCAAAGCTAGAGCAGATAGCACAATGGAACCGAGTAACCATCCATTTGAGAATGATACACAAGAATCGTGAGTCAATGTCCAAACCCAACAGGGCAACACCAACAGCATAACCCAATGTAGCTCTCTCTTCTGAATGGCGCCAGGCGCCCTATCTACTCTACAGCCTAGACTACAACTACAACAATGAAAGCAACCAGACAACTTGACTACCAGCGAGTGATGATGTCAACACCAATGCCGACCTCCACCTCCACCAGGTACGTGTATTCTTCACTCACACTCTCCCTTGTTACCCACACAACGCCCTTCACCTCCGAAGAACCACCTTCGCCCTCACCTCCCCTGCGCCCGCCTGCAGCCCGGCTATGGCCGCCAGCGCCCTGCGCCCAGGCAGCGC